TGATTTTTTGTAGGAAAACATTTTAATTTCCTTTCCATTTCCTTTTATGTATAATGTGTAACTCTTTTTGACTACAACAAAGATTATATGTAACACACTAAATGTGAAACACTGTAATTTGAATTTGTATCACTGTAACCTTGATAGTACACAGAATCTCTGCTTACAGCTCTGTCCCCATCCCTTTATAATTATTGATGTCAAGAATTATATTTTTACATTATGTGCCTAAAATAGAATAATAATTATTTTAGTGTATTTGTCTTAAATCATGTAGGAAATAAAAAGTATAGGTACAAACCAAAATTATAATAATACTGGTTTTCTTTATTGACCATGTATTTATCTCTACTGGAGCTCTTTATTTCATCATGTGAATTGGGTTCCTATTTAGCATCCTTTAATTTCAACTTGAAGACTTCCTTTAATCATTCTTACAAGGCAGGTTGAGTAGTATCACAACTTTTGTTTACCTGAAAATGTCTTTATTTCTTCCTCATTTTTCAAGGAGAATTTTGCCAGTTACAGAATTCTCAGTTGGCAGTTTTTTCTTTCGGCACCTTGAATGTACCAATTCACTACCTTCTGTTCTCTTAAGATTTATGATGAGAAATCTGCTAATACACTTATTCTTGTATGTTATGAGTCCCTTCTTTTTCCTGTTTTCAGTATTCTTGCTTTGGCTTTGGCCTTTGACAGTTTGATTATAATGCATTACAGTGTGAATCTATTTCATTTTATCTTTCTTGGGAGTCATTAAATACTTAGATTTGTAAATGCATGTCTTATATGAAATTATTCCAACCATTATTTCTTCACAGGCTCTCTGCTCCTTTCTCTTTAAGGATATTCATAATGCATGTTTTGGTCTGCTTCAGGGTTTCATACAGGACTGTGACATTCTGTTCACTGTTCTTCAATTTTTTTTCTGTTTGTCAGACTCAGTTCTCATTAGCCGTCTTCAAGTTTGCTGATTGTTTTCTGTCTGCTCAAATCTTTATATCACTCAAGTGAAATTTTCATTTTGAGTAACTGTATTTTCAACTCTAGAATTTTTTTGTTTCATTTTTACATTTGCTATCTTTTTATTGGTATTTCCATTTTGTTCATCACTTTCATGATAAAAGATATTTTGTCTAAATATCTTTACAACTTGTAGTATGCCACTATCTGGTCTTTCCACAGAGAGGTTTTCTATTTATTTTGTTTCTTAGTTTTTTGTTCTGTTTTCTTTTATTGTTCTGCTTGGGATAGAACCCAGGGCTTTGCACATGCTAGGCAAGTGTTCTACCATGGAGCTATTTTGTTCCTTTGAATGGACCATATTTTCCATTTTTTTTTAAAAAATGCCTTGTGATGTTATGTTGAAAACTGGACATTTGCATTTTATAACATTATAACACCTCAAATCATACTCTCCCCTGTTTCCACAGTTGGGGTTGTGGATGGGGTTTCATTGTTGGTTTTCTTTTTTCTTTTTTTTTTTTTTTATGGTCCTAGGGTTTGAACTAGGGTCTCATGTTTGCTAGGCAGGTACTCTACCATTTGAGCCACTCTACACGCCCTGTTATTATCAACTTGTTTCTTATGCCTGTATTTCTAGCTAGTCAGGAGGCAGAGATCAAAAGTGCCTGCCTAGCAAGGGTGAGGTCCTGGGTTCCAGCCCCAGCACACCCAAAGAAAAAAAGAATGTTATCTGGCATCTCTGTGCTAGGAATCAACTTAATGTATAAACCAAAGACTTTCTTGTACCTTATTGTGTTCCCTGGACATGTATGGTGACTTTCTGAATCCTCTCCCTCCAATGTATTCATTTGCTTTTGGGTGTCCTTATCCTTAAATGTATGGCTTTCAAAATGGGGGTTGGGGAATGGTGAAGGAAAAATATAGGCAAATCCTTTAGAAGACACTTCAGAAGTCAGTGGGTATTGTAAGAATGGTGACCTGCCTTTGAGTATGTACCTTTAAAGATTCTTATTGCCCTCCTGGTTCCAGGGGCAGCTATAGGAGTGCTGGTAGGGCTACCTGCAAGGGGGTGGGTTTCTGAGAGTTGGGTAGCTGCTGCTGAATGAAATGATGTACAGTTTGCTGTCCAAGCCTTACCCCCTAGAAGCTACAAGCTTTCTAATAGGTTCCAGAGTTTCAAAATAGTATAGCACACAGATTCTACGAGTTTACTTGTTGTTTAGGTAGAGACACAGAATACTGGCACTTCCTATGTGCCATCTTTCCTGACAAAAATTTTGGTTTTGCTTTCTTTTTTTTTTCTCTCTCTCTTTAGGCTGATACTAGGGTTTGAACTCGGCCTCATGCTTGCTAGGCAGGTGCTCTACCTCTTGAGCCACGCCTCCAGTTAAATTTTTTCTATTACCTTAAATTTTCTTTGCAGTTAGGCAATCTCTGTCTTCACATAATACTGAGATCTCGAAGAAAAGTCTCATAGTTATGAAGCTATTTCTTACCATTTTGGGAAGAAACATGATAGGTTACTGACCTCCCACCCAGCATTCTCTTCAGCTTCCCAGATGGTTTATTATTTCTTCTTTAACCATGAGTTTCACTGGTTAATAAGTGCTTCAACTTTTACTTAGAAAATATGCTTTTTTTTCCCTTGCAGTACTGGGGTTTAAATTCAGGGCTACACCTTGAACCACTCCATCAGCTCTTTTTTTGTGATGGGTTTTTTTTCCAGATAGGGTCTTATGAACCATTTGCCTGGGGCTGGCTTCAAGCCTCGATCCTTTTGATCTCTGCCTCCTGAGTAACTAGGATTACAGGGATGAGCCACCAACGCCCAGTTGAAAATATGCTCTTAATCTAAATATATTTTTAAGATTTTCTCATGTGTACTGATTTTTTAAATTAACTTTGAGAAACCACATTTGTAAAATTGAAGCTTTCTTAGTTGATATGTAAAAGGAAAAATATGAACCCACTCATTCCTGTTACAAGGAGGGATAGAAAGAGGGAGAAGACTTAATTTTCAGTTTATTGTGGAAAAACATAAACACATATAAAAATAAACAGAATACTGTAATGAATCGCCGTGTAGTCATCACCAGTTTTCTACAGTTATTTTCTTGTGGTCATTTTTGTTTCATTGATATCAGTGGTTTCCCACCAGATACTATTTTGTCATTTGTTAGTGTCTTGAAAGATTTTTTTTCTCATCAAACCTGCATATAAGGGTGTTGTGTGAAGGAAGACTCTACTGGCATCTCATTGGTAGAGGCCAGGGATGTTGATAACCACCCTGCAATGTACAGAACAGTCCCATAGCAACAAATAGTAATCTGGTCTAGAATATCAGCTGAGGTTGAAAAATCCTGATCTATATCCAGCTTTCATTCACTGACATCTTTATAACATTAAGTTGTTTAACCCATGAGTAGGAGAGGTTATTCCATTTATTTAGGTGTATTCTAATGTTATCCAAGATACTCATAAAGTTTTTCTCATTTAGGTTTCTCATATGTTTTGTAAATGTATTGCTCTAATTCTTTGTAAAGGTAAATCATGGTTATTGATTTTAATGTGTATGTGTCATATCCTGCTATTTCATTGAGTGAGTTTTATCATTGATTCTCTGGCATTTTTCAGGTATAGTGTTATCAGTACATAGAGGAAATTTGACTTCCTCTTTACTCATCCTTATGCCTCGAATTTTCTTGTTTGATTGCCTTGGTGAATACTTCTGTAATGTTAAATGGTAAAAAAAAAAATGTGTGGGTTTGTTTGGGATTTTTTTGCCAAATAATATATACTAGGTTTAGTACTAAGGCATACGAATTTTATGTTGTTGAAGTATCTCTCAATTCCTGTTTACTCATGTGTTTTTTATCCATAATGCTGATTTTTGTTGAAGGCTTTCTTGGCATCTCTAGATACATATTTTCCCTTAAATACATATGTGATGTGATACAGTTATGTACCATACAATGTTTTAGTCAATGACAAGCCACATATACAGCAGTGGTCTCAAAAGATAGATTGTAGGGGAGCTGAAATTTTCTTTCACTTAATAACATTGTAACCATTGTAACTTTTTTTTTGGCAGGGCTGGGAGCTGAACTCAGGGCCTCCATCGTTGCTAGGCAGGTGCCAGGCATCCAGCTCCAACTTTTGTAACTTAACAGAATGCTTTACTCATGTATTTGTGGTGATGCTGCTATAAACAAACATATTATACTACTAGGAGTATGGAAGTATAGCCACACAATTATGTAAAATACATAATACTTGATAGTAGTAATTAATGACTCTTAATGGTTTATATCTTTTTACTATATTTTATATTGTTATTTTAGCATACACTATTTATAGGAAAAAAAAAAAAAACCTTACCCTGGCAGCATCTTCTATATATCATGTTTACCATATCTCTTGACTGCATCAAGTGATTGACCTACAGCATATAGATTTGTGTTAAGTGCACTCTGTGATGCTTGCACAGTAATGAAATTGATTAACACCACATTTCTCAGCGCATATCCCTGTCATTAAGTGACACATTATATTATAAGTGCTTTAATGAGGAGATGTATATGGATTGTCGGTGCTGAGAGTCAGGAAAGGTACAACAAAGAAGCTAAAATTTGCACACAATCTGAAGGCCACAGAGAAGTTTGTTATGTAGGAAATGGAAAGTGAGACATTCAATATAAGAAATAATTACAGAAACAATGCTTTGGATACCAGATTGCATTTTCCAATCCATACTCCTCCTCTAGTCTCTCTTCTTTCCATTCTCCATTCTACTGGTCACTCCTGTACACTCTTACTCTCCTTAAGTGAGCTTGCTTTATTTCTTTGTTCACTCTCATTGTTCACCTGTCATTCGTTACTATTTTTCAGTGTTATTTTCCTATTTTTCCTCTTGCTACTATCTATTAAAAATGTAGCAAGCTTTTATTTCAATATTATTAAATATTCCTTCTACAAATTTAGTCTCAGGTAATCGTTGGCAATTTCTTTCTCACTTTTTTTTTTCTTTTTTCCAGGCTGTAAAAGCAGTCTTCAGACCACAAAGTCAACTCAAACTAAAGACTCATTGTTTCAGGGGCTGATGAGGAAAAGACTCAAAAGAGATAAACACTGGGACACTATATCAGATAAATCCTGCATATCGGAGGACGGATTAAAAAAACAGCAGGACAAAAATGAAAATTTACAAATAATTTCAATCACCCATATGAAAATCCTTACTACTGACAGAAATCATAAAAATTTTGAATTTGGCCCAAATTTCAGCCTGAAATCAGTTGTTGTTAAGAAGCAAAGGATTGCTAGAGAAAAAACACAAAGACATAGCTTCAAGGAGAATTCACATTTACTTAACCAACCAAAAATTAAGACAGCAGAGAAACGCTATAAATGTAATTCATGTGAAAAAGCTTTCATTCACAATTCATCCCTTCGTAAACATCTGAAAAATCACACGGGAGAGAAATTATTTAAATGTAAAGAATGTTTGAAGGCTTTCAGCCAAAGTTCTGCTCTTATTCAACATCAAAGAACTCATACTGGAGAGAAACCCTACATATGTAAAGAATGTGGCAAAGCCTTCAGCCATAGTGCATCCCTTTCTAAGCATCTAAGAACCCATACTTTAGAGAAATCCTACACATGTAAAGAATGTGGTAAATCCTTTAGCAGAAGGTCTGCCCTTTTTTTACATCAAAAAATCCATGCTCGAGAAAATCCACATAGATATAACCCAGGTAGGAAGGCATCTACCCTTTCAGGATGTCAGAGAATTCATCTCAGAAAGAAATCATACTTGTGTAATGAATGTGGCAACACCTATAAGTCTAGCTCATCCCTTCGCTATCATCAGAGAATTCACAGTGGAGAGAAACCTTTTAAATGCAGTGAATGTGGGAGAGCCTTCAGTCAGAGTGCATCACTCATTCAACATGAAAGAATCCACACTGGAGAAAAGCCCTACAGGTGTAATCAGTGTGGTAAAGGCTTCACTTCTATTTCTCGACTCAATAGACATCGAATAATTCATACTGGAGAGAAGTTGTATAATTGTAATGAGTGTGGCAAAGCCTTAAGTTCCCACTCAACACTTATTATTCATGAGAGGATTCATACCGGAGAGAAACCATGCAAATGTAAAGTGTGTGGGAAAGCCTTCAGACAAAGTTCAGCTCTCATTCAACATCAGAGAATGCATACTGGAGAGAGACCCTATAAATGTAATGAATGTGGGAAAACATTCAGGTGTAACTCATCCCTTAGTAACCACCAGAGAATTCATACTGGAGAGAAACCATATCGATGTGAGGAATGTGGGATGTCATTTGGCCAAAGTGCAGCTCTTATTCAACATCAAAGGATTCATACGGGAGAGAAACCCTTTAAATGTAGTACATGTGGGAAAAGTTTTAGACAAAGCTCCTCACTTACTGCACATCAGAGAATTCATACTGGAGAGAAACCCTATGAATGTATCACATGTGGGAAACTCTTCAGCCAGAGGTCATCCCTTACTAATCATTATAAAACTCATATTGAAGAGGTCTCCTTGAAAGCAGATTTGCATGTGTGAAAGCCATAAACCAAAGCTCATCAGAGAATATGTACTTGAGATTGATTTATTAACTACAATGAATAAGAGGAAACTTGATCCTCACCAGATAATTGAAATCCAAGTGTAAGCCTTTGCTATACAATAATTATGGAGAAAACTTTCATATCTATCACTTTTTAAAAATATCCTGAGACAGACACTTCACAGTTGCAGATATTGATATTGGCCATTTGTAACACAAATGTGGGTTTTTTCTCTTTGTTACCATTATATAATATATGCAATATATTGCTTTATATAATACATGCAATGTATAGTTGTACTTCTCATTAGAAATGTGACTATTTGCTGCTAACATATTTATTACAGCTAATATTTTAATAGCAAACAAAAGAATTGATATTACAACTTATGCATTTTTAGAGCAAGGGACCAAATAAAAGAAGAAAAAAACCTGCAAACTACCTCTCACTGTCTGGAATTTACCTTTTCTTAACATTTTGTCAAACTTTTTGCATGTTTTTTATTAAAAAAGACAAAAAACCCATTCCTTTATTCTTATAGTAATTTCCAAACTACACCCAAAAGCCTCCTATATTTTCTACACTGTACCTAATGTTGCACTCAGAATTATTTTTCTTTATTGTCTTGAAGTCATATTTTTTATGAAATCATACTTGGTATACCGTCTAGTTCAGGTAATGACTTCAACATTAAAAGTTGTTTTTTTTTTTTTTTTTTTAGTTCTTTGCAAAAGAAATCCTAATAGTTTGAAAAACCCAAAGTTGTGAATGCCTTGAAAAAGAATGAGTAAATAAAGTAATGGTTTATTTTCTTCTCTTGAAGTTTTCTAGTTTTTAAAATTTTCAGAATGCAGATAATAATTATAAGCTTTAGAACTGGTTTACTCAGTTTATGTTTGGTTAGTCCTGCACTCAGGCCAAAGTCTTACCTTTGGTACTAGAAATTTTAACAAAGAAATAAATAGTCTGTATTCAAGAAGACATTAGTTGAGTGACATGGGAAAGCAGGGGCTAAAGGAAATATCAAGTGGATAAAGAAATTACAATTATTAAAATGGTTTTCACATGGAAATAGGTAAGTTACTGTGTTAGATTTCTGTTTCTGTAAGAAAATATGTGAATCAGAATAGCCAAGTTATGGAAACAGCCAAGATGCCCCACCACTGACAAATGGATTAAGAAAATGTGGTATCTATACACAATGGAATTTTATGCAGCCATGAAGAAGAATGAAATGTTACCATTCGCTGGTAAATGGATGGAATTGGAGAACATCATCTGAGTGATGTTAGCCTGACCCAAAAGACCAAAAATCGCATGTTCTCCCTCATATGTGGACATTAGATCAAGGGCAAACACAACAAGGGGATTGGACGTTGAGCACATGATAAAAGCGAGAGCACACAAGGGAGGGGTGAGGATAGGTAAGGCACCTAAAAAATTAGCTAGCATTTGTTTCCCTTAATGTAGAGAAACTAAAGCAGATACCTTAAAAGCAACTGAGGCCAATAGGATAAGGGGACCAGGAACTAGAGAAAAGGTTAGATCAAAAAGAATTAACCTAGAAGGTAACACACATGCATAGGAAATTAATGTGAGTCAACTCTCTGTATAGCTATCCTTATCTCAACCAGCAAAAACCCTTGTTCCTTCCTATTATTGCTTATACTCTCTCTTCAACAAAATTAGAGATAAGGGCAAAATGGTTCCTGCTGGGTATCGAGGGGGTGGGTGGAAGAGGGAGAGGGCAGAGTGGGTGGTAAGGGAGGGGGTGGGGGCAGGGGGGAGAAATGACCCAAGCCTTGTATGCACATATGAATAATAAAACAATAAAAAATAAAAAAATATGTGAATCAGGTTAAAAGGAGGAAAGATTTATTTTTGCTCATGATTTTCAACATTTCCATCCATGGTTGGCTGACTCTTGCTTTTGGACCTGTGGTAAGAGAGAGTATCATAGCATGGAGTGTATAAAGAACCAAATCTCACTTCATGGCCGACAGGAAATATAGGAAGGAGCCATGGTTCCAATATCCCTTTTACAGACAAACCCCAGTGACGTATATTGCTCCCATTAGGCCTTACATTTTAAAGCTCCATTACCTCCCAATAGTGCCATCAACTGGGGACCAAGCCATCAACATCTGAGCCTTTGATGGACATTTAAAATTCAAACCATAACAGTTATGGTGATACTATGTTGCAGAACAAACAGATCTGCACACAATGCAGAGAGAAGGAATGAATACTAACCAAGGGAACCCGGAGACACCAGAGATAGTGTCACAGGGACAGTGATACCTGGGCCCAGTTTTGGAAAAATAATAAAAATTCTTCTGAACATGGGATGAATATTCTAAATAGGGGAAACCACAGATGTAAAGTTGTGAGTGAACGGGTAACAGAATGGCACATTTGTAGGAAATCTATTGTAAGAAGTAATGACGGACATGAAAGTTGAGAAAAGTCAAGTGTGAGGTGACAAGAGATCTTAATTTGCCATACTGAATACTTTTATTCTGAAATTTATGGTACCCAGTAAACATTTTAAGTATGGTGTAGCCTCTATTGACAACAATAGAGGATACACCGAGGATATTGAGCACAACTGAACCTACAAACCTAGAAGTATAGGCTGTGAAGTAACTTGATGGGTGTGAGACCCTAAACATTAGCAGGGACCATCAGGTGAAAAATAAGTGACGGTATTAATGTGGTAAGAATAGGTAAGGCATAGTTTTTGCAATCAAATGATTGGGTAAGGTAAGTGAAAATAAATATAAGTGAACTCCCAGATTGATTACCTGAATGGATGATAGTGCCATGCACAAAAATTGGCAATATGGGGGTGAACAAGTTTGATTTAGTACATGTTAAATTGGTCACACTAATCTAAAGGGAAAAGTGAGCTGGAAGACCAGAATTATGATTAAATAATTAAAATGTAGTTGGTTAGTGAAAATCATGATGCATGAAATTGCCCAGGAAACTGTACAGATTACAATGAGAAACAGATCATGAATAAAATCCAGGTAAAGAACAAGAAGTCTATGGGAGTGGGGGAAAGTAAACTAAGATCAAATGGAATATCCAGGTTTTCAAGATGGTTGACTAATGATACCCACCCATTCCTAGCATCTCTGGGAAAGTGACTGGGAGCAGCTGAAGAGCATCTATCCTTCAAGCCAAGAAGACCATCAATAGATGAATGGATAATGAAGATGATGTATATAGATAATGGGGGTTTAGCCATAAGGAAAAATGATATGCCATTTGCTGGAAACTAGGTGGAACTGGATCATCAAAGTGAACTAAACCAGTCACATAAAGGCAGGTATTTCATATCTTCTCTCTGTTGTGACCCCGGGTGGGGGAGGGGGGAAGGGAGGATCTTGAAAGTAAAATGGGATCTACTAAGGTAAAAGGGGAAGGGAATAGGGGGGAGAGGAGACAAAGTAATAGAGGGGTGAATATGATCAAAGTATTTTATATGCATGTATGGGAATGTCATAATGAACCCCCTTACTTTGTACAATCAATATATGCTATAAAAAAATAGCCCTATGGATAGGAGAAATTCCAGAAGAGTGATGTCGTTGAGCTCAAAGGAGAAATGAATCTCATATGCTCAATATTGTCAGGAGCCCCAGTCAAATAATAAGGAAAGAATAAACTAGTAACCAAGTAGGTCACAGGAGACCTGGGCAAGAGCAATTTCAGTAAAAATGGAGTAAACAAGCCAGAATATTCTAGCCAAGATTATTATAGAAAGGTGGAGCTAGTGAGTTATGATAGACTTTGTTCCAAGAGCTTAAAATGAAGGGAAGAAAATTATTTTGGGAGCATTACCCTTTTAGTGATTAAGGCAATAAGGCTTAACATATGTTGAAGGTAGATTAAGGAAGAGATCACTGAGTAGAATTAAGTGTTTTTAAATGTTATGAGGGAATCCAAATCAGACCAGTGGTGGAGAAATTAACCTTAATTTAGCAGGAAGAGAAAGTCTATAGAAAGATGGGAATGCAAATAAGTTTGTTTAACTTGGAGATGAAGGATTTTTGCCTGCTAACATTAAGGTGGGAAAAATATTTTTAGTGATATTTGGCTGCTTAAAATATTGCTTAATGAGTTCAAATCTCTGCCAGAATGAGAGTGAGAATATGAATTTGTCTTGTTAGGCACTACTCTGAGTTTATTCCTTACTCATGTCTGAATAAGAAACTCCAATTTTACAGCTTTGTGTATTGCGTATCTCTGTTGCTTCTCAGTTTTCTTTTAAAGAGAGAAGTTGCTGATGAATTAAAGTTTGGAACGTACTCAGGGAGGGGGAGAAATAGTGTTTTAAAAAGAGTGGTAAGTATGAACTGAGACTGGAAAGACATATAGGAGGTGAAGGGGTATGTGAAGGTAGAAGGAAAGGCATCCTCAGTAAGGGGCAAAGGTTATACCATGACAGGAAGGTATGTGCTCACTTAATTTTCCATTTGTCACTAGTACATAGACATGCAATTGGTTTTTACACATTTGTTTTGTGTACAGCACCATTGTTGAATTTACTTATTTCTAATAGCTTGTTTGTAGATTGTTTTGGGTGTCCTTATACACAATCATGTTATCTATAAATAATTACCATTTTATTTTTCTAATCACATTATCTTTAATTTTCTCTTGCATTGTAGCATAACAAAGCTACAATGGACCAGTACAATGTCAAATAGAAATGCATTCAGCATTTCTTCTTTTAATGTGTTAGCTTTAATTTGTTTATGAATACATGTTATCACAATTAGGATATTCTCTTGTATTCTTTGTGCTCTTTGAGTTTTTTGTCATAAAAGGGAGTACTTGTCACATCTGTTTTCTGTATTGATTGAAATAATATTGCTTTTCTCCTCATTGCTTTAATAAGATAATTACATTGTCCTAATTTTTTTCATTGTACTAATTTTGATGTTGCATCCCTGA